TAAAACACTGTCAATGATTTTAATTTTATCTGGGCAATCCTAGGATTGTCAATCCTTTGGACCTTGCCAGTAACATATTGATAAACATTAAAATGCCAACTTATTTCTGCGACTTTTGTTGACAGGATGACTGTTACGAGCACTGTACAATATCTGTACTGTAGTATATTTCTAAGAAGGTTGAAACATTGCATCTGAAGGTAGTTTCAAATAAGGATCTTTTCGATGCATTCAAAACTGTAAGAAATAGTTTCTGTTGGCTAGAAAATGATCCAGATGAAGTCTTTGATTCTTTAATTTAAGTTAGAATTGTTTGTCAAAAGTAAAATAACTTTTAGTAAGGAAATACAGATGAAGATTACTGACTGTTTTTTAATTAATTACATACATTATAGATTATGAATGTTTTCTGGTGAATTTCAGGCCTCTTAATTGTCCAACTGGCATTGTTGTTTCATTGATAGAAGAATTTAACAAGTAATGGACAATCAGGCAAAGTGACATCATGACTGTTCACTTGTCCAAAAATTGTGAAGAATGTTTTGTGACTCTTTTTATACCCAGAATTCTGGGCATAAAAATTTAATGTTTCTAACAAAATAACAATTTCTAACATTAACATTAAAGGAACAACAAAACCAAATTTTGCCTAGAACTAAATTTTAAAACAAAATTTTTCAAAAATCAACACCATGTATTAGGACAGTGCATAATAAATTAGGATGAGATTTGCCAAATAGTTTTTTCTATAGAGAACTCCAAACACTTACAATACACCATATATAAAGTTGAAGAACTAAAAAGTATCTGAAAAAAATTATTTAAATATATTGTTCAAATCATGAAAATGTTTGGATAATTCACTGAATGAATTTAACATTTTGAATGATAACGAGTTATAACAGTCTGTCCATAAATTTGTATATTTTTTTAAAAATAAAGAGTGCACCACAAAACCTCAAATCAGTATGATGAAATTTAGTACATTAATAATGTTTTCATACTGTCTGAGACCTGCTTCAGGTTAAATATTTTTTAGGTGTCATGTTTCTATGGACTGATCATTGTTGACCTTATTTTAAATTGCATGCAGTTGAAAACAAATATGGTTTTTATTATTAGTCTATGTTAAAGATCTTTTCCCGTTTAATTTGATATATAATAAATAAGAATTTGTTGATACATATTTGAATTTTTTTTTATAATTTGAATTTAACGTAAACAAATGCGCAAAGATCAAGTTTTTAAACATTTTTTTTATATAATTGTATTATTTTAAAAATCCATGCTCAATTCTGATTGATTAGTGGTTTATTTTCATTCTATTGATCGTTTTCTACCATCTATTAAAGATTTTTGATGATGTATGAAACAGGGTTTTCGTTTTTGGTTTTGTTTATATGCCAGCTATTGTAGGTAAATAACCATTAAAAACAAATACCTTAAACTACAATACTTGTGAGGTTTTTTGCTTATTTGTATTTATATTTTAAAAGAACTAAACATTAAATAATTTAATTATTATAATAATAATAATAACTTTTATGACAAAAAATGGCTAGGAAAGCTTTTGTTGCTCAAGATTCAATAAAAATTGAAAAATTTGAATTTCGATCTTAAAATTTTGTCAATAGATATAGAATATATTACTTACAAAAGAATGGTAGCTATAGGAAATACAAGAAGACAAGTTTAAAGCAAAGGTTATGCGAAAATTGTGGGTTTGGCCATAGGGATCAAGGGTCTTTCTCGTATCTTGCTAAGGTACTGTCCCAAAGGTGTTAAACATTCCATTTGTAGAACATCTTTAACCCAAAGCTGGTCTCAGATGGAGTCCAGAAACATTTGATGATGTATTTAATTTTGTCACTGGACTGATTTAAGATTTTATAGTGTGTTCTGTATTACTGCACCATTCAGCTCGGTGGTAGAAAGAATTTTGGATTTCTTTTTAATAAATTTATAGTATCAGTTTTTTTGTTTTTTTTTTTTTGCATATATAAAATTTTATAGAAACTTAAAATTAATTTAGCATTTAGACAATAGTCAATGGAAATAAAGCAAACATAGGATCTGTTAATCAGGTATATAAATAATTTTTACCATTTGTTAAAAGTCAAAAAGGTAACTCTGTTCGATAATGAAATGGCAAATCTTTAGCATTATAACCCCCAACTAATTAATATAATTATATTCATTAAATTTATTACAAGATTTATTAAATAGTGACATAATTTCTTGTTTGGTTAATAATCATCATGTGTTGGGTTATAGTCTGTTATTACCATATTTACTTTATTTGGTGATATAAATTTAGATTTTCCTGTCTTTATTTAATACATTTTAAAATTTTGAACTGTTGTTGTAGCATCTAATGTCTGGCATTGCTCTAATCCAGACAGAATTATGAGAACATTTAAATCACTAAATAGTCACAGGTGAATGTAGCATATGTTCACTTGGATTGTCTACAATGCAGTTGTTGGTGATCCCTCTCTTCTGTGCGATTTTTTATTTTACTTACGTCGAATTATTTCTAGGATTTATTTTTAAAAAATGCAAGTGTCTTTCCTATCAAATGCAACACATTCTGTTCTTAATGCACACTCAATTTAAGTTTCTAACAGTCCAGAATATTTTAGAGACATAAGAGGATTATAATTGGTGTTTCAGGATGCACCATTGAATTATTTTGTGATCTTTGATGATCTGGCAAGATTTTGGAATCAAGCCTGCTGGAAAATTAGTGGTCAACCTATATTAAATACATTACTGAATTTTAAATCACCAACAAGATAAAGTTATTACAGTGGTACCTCAGGTTACAAACGCCCCAGCATACGAAATTTTCAGGATACGACATGAAATTCGAACATATTTTTGCTCCACGATACGAACAAAAACTCACCATATGACGTTACATTAGTTTGCATTTTTCATTTGTTTTTCTTACTACAGTTATTTTTTTTAATGTATTACTTGGCTTTAATTTGAGTGTGTTTTTCACATTGGAACGAATTATTTGGTTTTACATGTAATCGTATGGGAAAAGATGATCCACCTTACGACATTTTCATGATACGATCTGAGTTTCGGAACGGATTAATTTCGTATCCTGAGGTACCACTGTATTTTGACTTTTTTAAAAATATTGATTAAATTCCTAATCAATTTATTTGATATATTTTAGTGTAAAATTTTAATAATTATTGTCCAGAAAAATGGGCAATTTGTGCAGCTTGGAGAGAGTATGATATAACCATTTATATAAGTTTGTGGTTGATCTGAATGGAGTTGCTTTTCTATTTGCTAAATTTCAATAAAAGAAAAAATTTCTATTATATATATTTTGTGTTAGCAATGATCATTTATTTATCAAAAGGTAAGAAAGAAAACAAGCAATTAGAAATGAAGTTGATAATTTTACTAAATTACTTTTTCAGCAGTGAAGTACATGATTTATAAATGTTTTCGACTAGTCTGCTTCGGGTCTAACTGGTTCTTTTTTATTTTTCAAAAAAATAAAATGCCTCAATAGTCTAAAACATATTGGAATATGTTTAAATTATGTAATTGCCTTATTATGTTTGATGACATATGTTCCAAAATTAAAATTAACAAACATTATCAGTTGATTGCTTAATTTGAAAAGATTCCAATATGTTTTAGACCATTGAGGCATTCCATGTTTTGAAAAATAAGAAGTTCCAGTTAGATCTGAAACAGGCTAGTGAATGTAGTCAAAAACATTCATAAATTGTGTACTTCACTGTCAGAAAAGTATTTAGGTCAACTTTGTTGAGCATAGATAAAAGTTCTGGCTTTTGGAAAGTGCAATTTATGAAGTCGGCAATGTTCTCTTGTCAAAGAGCTGTTATTTGACAGATTTATAATTTTGTATGCGGTGATAGAATTGGGAAAAAGTAGTCTGCTGATAAGAAAGGAAGGAGTGGTCCAAGAATTGTAATCTTGGGCTACTCCTTCCTCTTTGCTTATTTATAGAATTGTATAGTATGAGAGCTGAAGTAATTGATTTTTTTAAAAGTTTGTAATAATACCTTATTTATGCATGTATAAGCTGTGCACCCCGTTTCTGAAATGTTATACTTGGAAAAAATAAAAATCTCAAAATTTTGTCAATGGATAAGAGTAGAGATGCAGGTATACAGAAATATGGCAACATGCAAATTCCAAACCTAGTGATGGTTAATGCTTATTGTTGGGTGTCTGCTCATTGCATTTTAAATATAGGTTGAGTGAGAAAGAGTTACACAGTGAAGTTTAAGTTGGAAGTGGCACTATTGAAATTCAGCACCTAATCACAAGCTCATGTTATGCCATGAAATATCTTGGGCAATCATTCAAGCTTCAAACTAAATCATTTCAACAGACACAGAAAATCCATTTGCCTGAATTTCATGGATATGTCAACAGATTTGCTTCCAGGTTGGAATATTTTGCTGTCTTTCTGTGAAATGATTATCATATTGTGATATTTTCCCAAGAGTGTCTTGTTTGAATCCATTGCTGCACATTTTTTTCCTCTGTATCAAACTTTCTTCCTGCTTCTTGATTCCCATTCTCTTGCAGCAGCTTGCCTAATTTTAAATTCCTTTAAAACTATCCATTATCTCGAGTATAGGCCACACCCTAATTTTGTTTTAAAAAAGTTCAGGGAACACATGCATAAATATGGTATTCTGCAACTCCATTTTTAAGTTTCAATAATAAATAAATGACAAATAACTTAATGCAGTGGTTCTCAGGTGTGTTGTGGTTATGCTGATGCACACTGGTGCACTGCAAAACATGGATAAATGGATACAAATATGAAAGTATGTTTTAAAAAATGAGAAGAAACTAATTTGTACAAAGATTTATTACACCCACAGCCATTTAGAATGTAAAATAACTTATATTAATAAATTTTAAATTTTGTAAACAAAGTGTGCTAGAAAAATTTTTGAGAACTGACTCAANTTTAAAAATTTTTATAATAGGTACATCATACCTGCAGGAATTTTGTATTTGTACAGTCAATAGTGTAGCCAGTCCTTTTATATTACATGAAATTGTACTAGAAGCAGGACATTACTTGGCCAGATCTGCATCTACACCATTGCCTACTCCCATGCGTTCTCATCTTCTAACTCCACTCATACAAAAGTGTCAACAGATGTAAGTATGATTAACTTGCTAATTTTCAAATTCATTTTATGGAGAAATATGTTACTTGCATACGGATGATTAAACAAAGAATCAGTGTCATTACAGAATAACATAAATACAAGGTATGGGTAAAAAGTTCATGGAAAATCACTATATACTTTTTTTTTTGTTAATTTTTCAGTATAACAATGTAGTTTTTCAAAATATCATCTGACCATCAGGAGCAAATTCATGATGCACAACACATCAAATGTCAAAAAATCAATAATATTACCTTGATTTTTGATTGGGCTTTTTGCACTTTTTTAGGTCCTGGTTCTTCTGCTGTGTCTGCTCTACACTTCATCATAAATAGAATGCAGCATTTCACAAATCTTGGACTTCTTCTTTCCAAGTTTAACAAGGAACTTTACATTAATACTTTGTTCAGTCAAAAGATTACTAAGTTGTTCATTTCAACTGATGGCTTCAATATGCCTATACTAAAAGAAATTCACAGCAAATTGGCAATAAACCATAGAAGTTTGCCACTTACACTGAACAGATAGTAAATATGGTGCTGTATACTATACATCATACTAAGCATGTCTCATCAGTGTTGTCAATAGAAGAGAAGAAATTTTTCCAAGAACTTTTGACCCACACCTTTTATATGCACTGTTATGAAATGTAATTTTCATTAAAATATTTCATACATTTTAAATGCAGAGAAATATGATTAATGACAATTTGTTTATATCAATAAATTTAGATTAAGTTTAAAAAATTTACTGTCAATAGCACAGATTATAATTCTTGTAAGCAGTTTCAACAATATTTCTGCAATTTAAAATACAACATAAAAAGAAATATATCATTATTTGTATATACCATTTTCATAAGTTAACCATTTGCAACTGATTTGAGATTTTTATTTTGGTTCAAATTTAAACAGAAACAAATAATAAAATTTTCAGTTTGCACTTTCATACCTAATAGTTTGATATCTGTAAATCATATTTTATTTGCCAAATGTGAACACTGAATATATTTTTGGACAAGAAACAAAAATTTCAAGCTGATCATGGAGTGTCATTTCCCAGCAGGTTTGGTTTCCATAAAAGCAAACTATTAAAATTAAATTTTATTCTCTGTTTTCTGTTTAATCTATGGTTTTAATATTTTAAATAATATTTTATGCACTGTAACATATTCACAATAAAAAATAAAACCTTCCTACCTTAATAAGAGACTTTTATAATTTTCTTTTTAGCTCTTTAGGAATGGATCAATTTTTTCTATAACATGCATCTCATTAATTCACTTTTGTATACATTTTTAGGAATGCTTTAGTCTGAAAGTTGGGAGGTTGTCTGTATATATATATACATTTGGCTTCTTAATATTGTACATTATTTGTTTTTAAGAAGCCTATTTTTAATACCAGACTAAACATTTTTGGAGACATCTCATCTTCAGATCTGAAGCCTAAATACATTTCAAATTAAAATTGCCATTTTAAACAGTGTTTGAACTGTAAATAAAAAAGAATTGCTAAATAATTTAATTCAGAATCTTTGTAAATTTACTGCAAGTATTTAGTAAATTTATATGGCAAACTAATAAATAAAAATTTTTATCATATGTTTTTATTATTAAGTTGTAACAAAATAATGAGTCAGGTTTAACATATACAATTCTTTTTTAAGTCTCCTTTAGTTGAGTGATGTTCATCTTTATCTTTCATCTTTTGATGGAGAATATTATAGGTATTGGTTGTAATGAGATCTTCAACAATTCAGAAGGGATATTTCTTGATTGAGCTAGAACTATCTTTACATTTTACCAATTAGCCACTGTATTTCAGTTAGCTATCAGTTATTTATCTGTACTTACTACACGTTACTTTATGTTATCTTCCAGGTCCAAGTGTACTGATGATATTTTATTGTCTGTCTTAAGTGTGGAATCTTCTTAATGTTATTAAGTATGTAGGGATTGGAATGTCAGTTTTCCTTTTTCATCTTATTCTTTAAAATGCATTGCAATAGTTGAATGGCAACTGTTTCTGTCACTTTAATAAACTTATAATACATTTGGTGAGAGAATAAAAATTCAAGGTGATTCTGTATGATTGGTTGATCGCTTTAGTGAGTGGAAAACACATGATGCAACAGTAGTTGTTTTTCCATCTTGTTAGTAGCTTGTACATTTATTACTTTTTAAAATAATAATAATAAAATAAGTTTAGAATTATAAATTTCAATAAACAAATAAAGATGTTTAATGTTACTTTAAGATTTCTAACATTAATTTTACACTATTTGTGACCTATTTGTTTGGTTAATATTTTAAATATTTTGGCCTTTATTATATTATATTTTTTATTGACATAATCAGCTTTTTGGTCCATTTCATCAAATGTAATAAGTAAGAATTAAACTTCAGCAAAATATATATTTTTTTTAATTTTCATTCATAATATGCATTTATTTTATCAAATTGGTTACCCTTTATTAAAATGTTTTAACTCTGAAGACTTTTTAAAATTATGCACAGCCAAGTTAAAGTGTTTTGGGAATTTCTGTTATTCCAAAATCATTTTCACTACTATTAATATCTGAAATTCCACAAACATTGATGATAAATGGCTCAACATATTCTTCAATTAAGTGGTCTTATTTCCAATATATATTTTAATATTTTTAATATTAAAGATTTGAATAATGAACCTTTATATTAAAGGTTCTTAATAATAATTAAGATTTTCTAAAAACATTGATTCATTATCAGCATTTGTGTCAGTGTCCTTCTGGAAGTATTATTACAACAACAACAACAACAACAAATAGTCTAGAACTGAAATGTTACAATTTCAATTGGGTAATTATAACAGTAAAATTGATTATTAAAAAGTTTAAATTATTTAAAATATCAAATAATCTAGAAGAAAAACTTGCTTAATTGGTGCAAATGGCAATTGAACAGCTACACACTGCCCAGCAGAAGCAAAGACCAGCTTGCTGCATCAGTTTGATAACGTTCTTTTATATATTGCTGATTTGTATTACATTTGCTTACAAGGAATAAGATTTTGCTTAACTTGTGTCTTTACCAATATTTATTTAGAAGATACAAACCCTAAGTAATTTTATATTTATATACTAGCTTACCTGTCGCGCATTGCTGCAATCTCAAAAGAAACGAAATTCAAGCAAACTCGTTATAATAAAAATTCAATTTACATTTTATCATTTTTATTGAAACTTATTATTATTATTATATTATTATTATTATTCATTTTCGTTGGGAAAACATTTCAAAGTGTCATTTCAATTCTATTTATTTATTGGAGTGCTTGTGGATACACAATATTTTTTGTTTTTCCGTCTGGTGCTTACATGAATAAATCAGTAGGTTTTCCGATGCATGAGCTAGCCACATACAGTTGTCCATGTGAGAAGCATGGATTCTCCAAATCTAGCCCACACACTTGCAGCGATTGTCAGAAGTGCGATATTCCCCATTTTTATATATATTTTTTAATCCTTTACAATTTTAATTATTTAATTGCTTCTTCCTCTCTTCCTTGGCATGTTGTGAAATTTCTGATAGTTGGATAATAAACCATTTTATTGTAATTTGTCTTTTTAAATTATTTTGAGTTGATATTAAAATTTGGAAAAGGGGAATCCTTAGATCGGTAAAATAGGTGAATTTCCTCCTCCAACTTCAGTTGTTGTTCGGGATACAGTTAAGATTTTAACAAAGTTCAAGCAAATACATAATTAGCAAAAAATAGTTAAAATAAAGTGATTAAACAAAAATTATTACAAATATCGTAAATAACAGTTCACAAATGCATATATAGAGATATTTTTTGAA